TCTTGACAAGGTTTTAACGAGGCAACACATGTATACTCCACTAAAGATGATCTATTTGAGGGGGAGCAATGTTGTGCTTCCACAATGCTCAGGTTTTGTCCCACCGGGTTTTCCTGAGGAAACGATGATGATAAGGTTTTGTCCCACCGGGTTTTCCTGAAGAAACAATGTTATGATTTCACGATGATCAGGTTTTGTCCCACCAGGTTTTTCTGACATGCTGAAGCAACAATATCTAATGGCCACAAGATACACTTCAAGTTGTGCAGATTGGGCTTTGTTCAAATTAGTTAAAATATGTTTAGAAAATAGTCATTCAAGGGGGAGTGTTATGAAATAATAAAATAATGTATGTGAATGACTATTTTGCCCTCGATGTATTTGTATTATTACAAGTTGTGCCATCAGAAGTTTCCTATAAATAGGAGCTTCTGTTACAATGAAAATCGAACCAAGAGAATACATTTTCTCTATTCTCTCCCTTTCTCTCTAGTTTAATAACACTTTTTTGTTATTTTTTAATTTGTACACTTATTTAATAAGTTAATGACTGAAATTAAAGTTATAAATTTTTTATTATTAAAAACTAAAAAACACTTACTCTTCTAAGATGATTAATTTTTATTTAACAAATATGATAATATATTATTTAGAAAAAAATTTACTCAAATTTTAATTTTTAACATTATGTAAGTTCTGTGTATTGTAATTTCCAAGTAAAACTTTATATTGGTACGTACTTAATACTCTATAATTATAAATAATGTATATTATTTTTTATATGTATTTATGATAAATATATAAAACATTTAGATTGAATAGAAATAAAATATAGTTATAGTTTTAAAATATTAATAAAAATATAAGAGTATAATATTAATTAAATGTAAGTGGAAAATATGTTCGACCCATCAAAAGAGAGGTTTTATGAAATTTATTGTTATTGGAGGTTTATATATGTAGAGGTTTTGGATGATGTGGCATGTTGGTTTTATGAAATTTATTGTTATTGGAGGTTTATATGTGTAGAGGTTTTGGATGATGTGGCATGTTGGAAAACGTAAAAGGATGTTTATGGAGAGTGGTTGTTAAAGTTGCTCCAAACACGACACAATAAATTCTATTAATATTTCTTTTAGGCATACTTTTTGTTGTGGTGTGTATACTAGTGTATATATCCAATAGTCCAAAATAAGATAGACGACTAAATACATTTTTTTTTTCATATAAGTGAACCAGACTTGAACCATTTTTTATCAAAACCAAAATTTCGCATTTCACTTGAGCATACTATATCCGTATGTAGGTAAAAAAGATTAAATTTTCTTGTACATTTATTTAATGTATATATAGCATGTTATATAAAGTATAAATAAACAAATAAACTATATTTATATTGAAGTGGAAATGTTTCAGTCTACCATATCTATTACTATATAATAGAGAGAAGAAAAAATGTTTGAAAATATATTGCATTTTACCGCTCAAATCATTTTTTCCCCCTAATATTTTGTTTGAAATTTTTTCGGAAGTTTGAATTTTTTCATTCCGAAATTTAGTATGTTTTGGATGAGATTCCTTCCATATCGGATAAATTCAAGTTCCTTTTCATTTGGGAAAACAGATTTTTATTTTAGCAATATATTTGACTTTCTTTTTTTTTAACCGATTATGTTGATCTTCTGTTTAAAATTGAAAAAAAAAATTATTGTAGCCGATTTTTGGTGATTCGATTTTGCGGCTAAATTTTAGGAAAGATTGACTACACATTTATTTTAATATATCCTTGATTATCTCTTCCAAAAAATTATCCCCTCTCTACCACGCTGTATCGGAGCATTTAACCTCTCTCCTTCCTCTTCTCTTTCCCTCAAACCCCCATTTTCCACATCCTCCTCTCTCATCGCCTTCTTCTCTCTCACCTCCGTTGGATTCTCATCTGGGTCATGAAACTCGCCAAGATCATCCCTGGCAAGCTGTTCAGACCAAAAAAATCCCGATCTGTTTCCAGATCCGAAGTCGATCCGCCATCTTTGAGCTCCCAGGCGATGTTCTCCTCGGCCTCTTCCGAGAATGTATACAAAAAGCAGGGCGGCGGCCGCCACCGTCCTCCCCTCCAGCTCCGCCGACGAGTGGTCCGAGATCTCCGCAAGCGTTCGAGATGATTGACACGGACGGCAACGGGAAGATCCGAAAGGTGGAGCTACTGTGCGGGTTGGGTGCAGGGAGGAGCTCTGACTGATGCTCGGGGAAGTCGACCGTGACAACGACGGGTGAATCACGCTGGAGGAGTTCCACGTGATCGGGTCGGCTCTTTTGCGCGCCGGCGTGCGACTCGGAGATGTGGGACACGTTCGAGGTTTGACAGGTAGCTTTAATAATTCTTGTTTTTGAGTTTTGACACCCCAAAATTCTCACGACCACCATAAAAGTAGAATCCTAACCCCAAGTATTTGCCGCCAATTGCATGACCAAGAGCCGACGAGGCGGCGACGGAGAGGGCGAGACCCAGCGAGGCCGCGACGGAGAGGGCGAGAAAAGACAGCGACAGAGAGATCAAGACTCGGCGGGGCTCTGGTTGGGTATTCCGGCACATAAGCCTAAACGAAATACTAGAATTAAGATTTTTAGATATTGATTGCTAATATTTGAATTTGACTTTGTTCATACGTTGTTGTTGTATCTGTAATACTGCAATTTTCAAATTTGAATTTGGTTTCAGATCTTCCCTTCCCTCATGGTGACTTTGATTCTGAACTCTAATTTCTTGCTGAATTATAATATGGTGATCCTTTGGGGATGGGGTGTATAATTATAAATTAACCCTTTTGGATTACATGGTTGGTGACTTTTGGGTATTCTGCATGAGTTTAATGATTTTCTTTGGTATTATCTTATAGGATTTCTTGAACTTGAAAGCATAGCCCAAATGATAGCACGCTCAATATTTTTTAATCAATTTCAGCGGGCCAGCCCGCCTAACCCGCGGCCCGTGGCGGAGTTGGGCCAGGCTGGCTATTTAGAGGCCCGCTAGAACGGCAGCCTGCCCCGCCCTGTCCCTCCAAACGGCGAGCTGCGAACCGGACCGTTCCGCCGGCCCGTTTTAACATGTCTATCCATACATCTGAGAAATTGTTAATAATTATTCTTAAATTATTTATTAACATGGTTTTAAAATAAATACATTTATTTTGAAAGAATCCTATTTATGAATTATTTAAATCAACTTGACGATTGTGTACAGTATAAGAATCCAATAATTAAACAAACACACGATTTATTTCAGAAAATTAAAATTCAATATATACAAACACACAACTTAAAAAAAGTAATATATTTTCGAAAGTATTAAATCAGTCACCAAACTTTAATATATTGTCAAATAGTAGTCAAATTTAATTTTCTACTCTAAATTGTGATTAATATTTTGATTTGTTATTTATTCTAATAGATTCAAAAATACCATTCCGGTGTTCATAAAAATCATCTACCATATATGGCACAATAATTATTTTGAATTTGTTTAAAAATTTTAAATTAGTTACATAAATAAATAATATTAATGTATATTAAATATTTATCATTATATATATATATAAATAATAAGTGTTATAAATAATAATAATAATAATAATAATAATAATAATAATAATAATAATGATATTATAAGACAATAAATTAAAAAAATAGATAGTTGAGTATTATGTTGAACAAAAATAAATAAAAATATTATTTTGTCTATATCAAAAAATAAATATAGATATTAAAATATTATTTATTAATATAAATAGGTGCAAGCTAATATAGTTAAAATAAAGTGTTTCCTTCTTAGGTTTGCAACTTAGTGATTTGCCCCCAAATCAAACAAATAATATTGTGTACAGAGAATTTTTTAATAATATATGATTCTTATTTATTTTTATTTTTGTTTTCATAATTTAATTAATTACATTTAAAATAAGTAATTCAATATGTTTTATGCGCCCACCGTGCATCGCACGGGTACATACTAGTATACTATAGACATTTAGCAATGTACGTGGGTCGTTGCGCATAAAAACATACATATTATAAACGTTGTGTAAACTGCATATAAGGAAAATAATATATTTTATCGTTTTTTCTGTTCTTAATTTTAGTCGAAATACACATAAACTCAATATAAACTACTTCTACAAATGTTATCTTGTTAAAACATAATTTCGTTTTTTAAAATGTTACGCTGATTTAAAAAAACATTATATCATAACTTATTCAAAATGTCTTAATAATTTTTTTATTTTTATTTTTTGGATTAGATTTAGGGCATGTCTTCACATTATGTCATTTCTCCAAACTTACGACGTTGATCTCGTCCCTCTTTTCAATGGCGGGTTAACTTAACTTTGTGTAGTCGGTTCTCAACTTCAACTCCATATAGAATTGTAGCTATCATCATATATACAAATAGGTAGATATTCTTAATAAGTTAAATCCAAACGATTTGTAAACGAATTTTACTTTCAATTTACCAATTAAACACCAAATTGCACAATTCGTTGTAGATGCAATTTTGCCTTATTAAGACACGACCAGTAGCATGGTGCATGTAGTTATCATTTTCCCAAAAATCCATTAGATGAAAAAACACCGTTAAAGTTGACGTTGTCTACAGAAAACAAGCAACAATTAAATTGATGAATAAATTGAGAGGTGGCATTCGAAAGCTTGAAGGACGAGTTTTATATCGAAGTAAATCTTATTTATGAAAATTCAACGGTCGGATTTTAGTTAATAGCTTAAAAAAAAAACTAACTATTGATCAATTGTTTTATTTTAGTCTGCAAGTTAGTTTTAACTTTCCATGTATATCACAAGTTAGTTTTCTTTGAAAATTCCAGGCCTTGGCTGCGCTCATTGAGCTTAATTACACGAGTTGGACCCAACACAAGCCCATAGCTTGTACAATATGTCCAGCCCATAAACCACAAAACACAGCCCAAGTTGTAACCGATAAAAACAACACGACGTAGTTTTGGTAATCTTATAACCATTTCCAAACCCCTGATTCCTGCTGTGTAGCGATTCTCGCTCTCCCTCTCTGTACAGTTCATCATCAACCAGCTGTTTTCTTCTTTGTTGTTTGTTCGATTGAGACGAACAAAAATCGCAACACATCAAAAGCTAATCCGAAAAATGAGTGCTTTCACCGCATTTAAAGCGAATGTTCCTGTTGCGTGGAGCCCTAATCTGTACATAACGCTGGTGAGGGGAATCCCGGGTACAAGGAGGCTCCACCGGCGCACGTTAGAGGCCTTGCGCCTAACCAAGTGCAACCGTACTGTCACCCACACCAACACGCCCTCCCTCCGGGGAATGCTTCAGCAGGTTATCTCCTTCTCCAATTTCTCATTTTCCTTCGTTTTCCCCCCAAAAAGATAAAAATAAAAAATGGTTCTTTTAATATTGATTGGTTGTTATATGGGATTTCAGGTGAAGAGATTGGTGGTGGTTGAGACAGAGGAAATGTACAATGCTCGGAAGGAGAAGGAGGCTAAGCATCGGGCCCTGCGCCCGGCCTTGGTTGTCAATCACCATCAACCTCCCGCTAGTGATTTTTCGGCTTGATTGCTCAAATATTCTCGACTGGTCAGTCTTTTTTT